TTCGGCCATTTTGATTAGGTCATGTGACTAGCAGCTTTCTGAGGTGGAAACGAAAGTTTACCGTCTATGCGAAATCAGAAGATAAATGATGTCCTAAACCTAACCCTAAACCCTAACCCTAACCCTAACCCTAACCCTGACCCTGACCCTGAACCAAACTCTAACCCTGACCCTAACTAACCCTGGCCCTAACCCTAACCCTAACCCTAACCCGCCACTCTTCATAATTGTGAGAAATAAATATTTTTTGGTTAAACTTGTTTGGACTTATTGTACAAACCTATTTAACATCCACTATTTTAACATAATATTATGGATAGAGTTTAATTCATTGTTTGCAAGATTAATTTCTCTATTTTTAAATTAATGTCTATATCGCCACGAAACAATTAGGATTTTCTTGCCTGGGATCTTCCTATTGGTGACCTAATCAAAATGGCCGACTTGGATATGGGTGGAGTTGGATATCTATCCTTGGCTTCCTGCAGTCTGCAGCCAGACGGACTTGAGACAGGTGACACACAGGTAGGTGCAGGTGACCGGAAACAAGGGGATGCACCTTTCAAAATAAAACCGGAAATGAGAAGACCAGGACATGACAGAACACCGAAAATGATCCTTTTGTGATTAAAAAATGATCCGTGTGTGTGTGAGACTGTGAGGTTAAATCATTCAAACTAAAATAATAAAAAAGCTGTTCTCATGGGACCAGCCCAGGCCCACCAATCATTAACCAGTTTGTCCAGGACGCGTTCAATGACCTGGTGAAACCTCCGGAGTGCGGGTTAATGCAGGTTAGTGTGTCTGGAAGTCCTCACAGACCCAGAACAGGCGCCTAAATAAGAACCTGAAACCGGTGGTCCAAATGTCCAATCTGTGAGTTAATGATTAGGAGTTCCACTGGAAATAGTTTAAATCAGGCCGGAACCTTTTGAAATGCTTATCTAACCTTTGTTTGTGTTTTTTTTCTGCCTGTATTTGTCCTCCAGACGCTTCGCGGTGCGTAACGACGCACGGCGCGGACCGGTTGGGTTTCAGTCCTTTAGGTTTACAGGACTGTCTCAGAAAATGAGAATATTGTGATAAAGTTCTTTACTTTCTGTCATGCAATTAAAAAACAAGAAATGTCATACAATCTGGATTCATTACAAATCAACTGAAATATCACAAGCCTTTTATTGTTTTAATATCGCTGATTATGGCTCACAGCTGAAGAAAACTCAAATATCCTATCTCAAAATATTAGAATATCGGATTTTTTAGTTTTCTTCAGCTGTACGCCATAATCAGCGATATTAAAACAATAAAAGGCTTGTGATATTTCAGTTGATTTGTAATGAATCCAGAATGTATGACATTTCATGTTTTTTAATAGCATTACATTACATTACATTACAGAAAATAAAGAACTTTATCACAATATTCTCATTTTCTGAGACAGTCCTGTATTTCAGTTCCACATGGCCACAGACGTCCGTGAACGTCACGTGCACGCGGAGGGAGCGCGCGCTCCCGCGGGTGAGGAGATAGAGCCAATTACAGCCCGGACATGCAAACCGGAGAAGAGTCCGGGAAGAGACAGATCCAAATAATAACCGGAGGAGGAGGATAACAAACATGAGCCGGACCGGAGTCAGAACCGGGTCAGAACCGGGCCAGAACTGGACTGAGAACTGGGTCAGAACCAGGCCAGAACCGGGTCAGAACCGGGTCAGAACCGGGTGAGAACCGGACTCAGAACCGGGTCAGATCCGGGCCAGAACCGGACTCAGAACCGGGTCACAATCGGGTCAGGACTGGGTCAGGACCGGACTCAGAACATGGTCAGAACTGGACTCAGAACCGGACTCAGGACCGGGTAAGAACCGGGTCAGAACTGGACTCAGAACCGGACTCAGGACCGGGTCCTACCGGACTCAGAACCGGGTCAGAACTGGGTAAGAACCGGACTAAGAACCGGACTCAGGACCGGGTCCTACCGGACTCAGAACCAGGTCAGAACCAGGTCAGAACTGGACTCAGAACCGGACTCAGGACCAGATCAGAACAGGACTCAGAACCGGGCCAGAACCGGAGGAGGCTCAGCTCCAGGTGCAGGTAACCTTTTAAACTTTTTCTGCCCGATTCTTTAGCTGGATTATGAGAATAAACCAGAGAACAGATCCAGAGAACAAATAGGAAATGTATTTGGTCACAGCTAACGTAAATCAGCAACATAAATTAAATTACTTTCTTCAAAATGTACTTTAAAATTTACTGAATAATGGTTCTGCCCTTTAGAAAAGGAGGAGGACCAGACTCAGTTCAGTTAATTCAATTCAGCTTTATTTACATAGTACCAAATCCCAAAGCAAGCACTAGGCGACACAGGCAAGGAAAAACCTCCAGTTAGCTCTGACATAGTAGTACTGGAGTAGAAGTACAAGTACTATATAAAAAAAATTACTTGAGTAAAAGTTGAAGTATTCTTTCAACTCCATACTTAAGTGGAAGTACGGAAGTACTCCATTTTTTTTGTACTTAAGTATTGCAAGTAGAAGTATTTCGAAAGTTGCTACTCAAGTATCGAAAGAACAAGTATAACTAAAAGTACAAGTACTGTGTATATTTAAAAAAGGCAGTCAAAAGTGTGATAGTTATTGTTTATATTATTTCAAACGTGTGAAAGGCCATACAGGTGTTTACAAAAACAGAAAACTACATCTGCATTAGCATCAACAGCTCTTCATCTACTATTATTTATTATTCCAGAGTCAGAATCCTGAGCTGAGCCTTTATGCTAGCATGTAGAATACAGCTAGCCAGCTAGGTTAGCTTAAGCTAACGTTATCATACAGC